TTATAATAGGTGCGAGTAGGAACGAATAAGTGTAACTATGCAAAACCCAGTATAGATTTAGACGTGAATTTTGTTTGTACAATTTTTTTTTCTTCTAATTTGCATTTATTCATTTGATTTTTATTCCTGCGAGATAGATTAAGTGAAATTCGCCTTGTTTTGACGGAAAAATGTAAATTCAAACTCCTAAAGTCCTACTTTACTTGATTGATATATTAAGAATAACAACTTCCACACTTCAAACTTTATTATATTCGGTTCAATTGCACTTGAAAGCATAATTCGAATATGTTTCGAACATGAACGTATTCAAATACGAGCCAAGAATAGAAAAGACTTTTTTAATTCTTCGATTAGAGACTTTATAATTTCAATAAGCATCATTTTCGAACACATTACAATGTGTATAAAAATACATGAAAATTTCGCAAATGATAAAAATAAACGTGCCTATTGTAGCACATTATCAAAATCATTTTATCTCAAATATTTCACGAAGCAAAGTCAAATGTGGACAAGGTAAAGATACTAAATATTCGAGGTAAATGTTTAGAAAAGCCTACATTGATTTAATATACTATTATGTATAGTTACTGATACACCAATATCATTTTCATTGCAACATAATGTCATCTTCTGTGCCTAATCAGATATTTTATAAATCCATCCTTGAATTAGTCCTTGATTAATTTAATTAATCAGTGGTCACTATTAAAGGTATTGATTTTGTTAAAAAATTAAGTGAACTGTCGTGATTGATATAATTATAAGCATAGAATGCTCATCTGTGAAGTCTGGAATGTCATTACAGATACATAACTTTTATGTATACAGATTATAAGCAGAGTCAAATAATTAGAGTTTTAGCATATGAATGGCCAGCGCCGTTAAAAAGCCTCTTTAAATCTATGTTAAAGAAATTATACAACATTCTTATTGATATATTGTATATAGATAGTTCATTGTATAAATAAACATTGTTAATGTAATAATACTTCAAATACATTTTCTTGTTGTTTACACTAACGGCCATTTAAATGAGTACATAAAAGTTTGCTCTCTTTCAATATCTACATATTTCATGTGAGATAAAATCATAAAGTTATTTCATTCTAAACTGTTCATAAAAATTTCAAGCTGCCAGTATATCTCACAATCTGACAGTAAAATAGTTCAAGCCAATTACAATTAATTTACATTATTTTCTAATATATGCAAGCACAATTCAATGAATTCTGCATTTTTTAATTAGGATTACTCAAGTTTATAAATTAGATACTACACATGTGTCAATAATCTATTTGTCTTAAACAAGTGTTTTAATGCTGTAAACATTTTTTTAATATTATTTAACTACAATTTCTTTTTGTTAATTTCAATATTAACATGTATATAAGTTGATTTTACTGTGTATTCCAATGAAGACACTATTGTAAGATTCGAATTCAATTACAATTATTAATATACAATGCAGAACATAATACTTGTCTTCTACTGTATTAAGACATACCACGAAAATACAATTTTCAGTACTAACGGAAAACCATGTTATACAATCTTAAAGTTTGAGTATATTAAACGAAACATGTAAATTTGCGATCGCACAATATGCAATGCATTGATAATAATTACAATGCACTGCAAAGAAGTTCTTCATAGATTATAACATTTTAAAACTGTGTCTCAATGCAATTGAATAAAGGAAGCATAGAATTTTAAATATCATTTTTCCAATATTCAAGTATATTTAAATATTGTCTATCTTTAAAAGATGCATTTTCCAAAATGCAATTTAATTGGAATTTTAAAGAATACTCTCTAAAATCCGATGAAAATATTTATAATAGATATTTAACTCTAGATGTCATAAACCATAAGTACATTAAGTGACAACAATTATACAACCTTTTGACCAGTCTTTGTTTGCTGTCAAACTGAATTAAGTAATAGTTAAGAAACTAAGCGCTCCATTTTTAAAAGAAAGGTACATTTTTAAAATTGCCTTGGAATTTATTATTATAATGCATAAGTCCATCCAAAGGAAAACATCCAGTGAAAATACTGTTATGGTTTTTAATAACTATACAGTTAATTAATAATTGCATAATATCCATCCAAGGAGTGCTCAAAATTAGTAAGAACCTAAGTATATCTGATGGCAAACAGAATAATGCAGTGTATAAAAGTAAGAAGCTTGTTTTAATGAAAATATACATGAATGTAATGTTTATTATGTTGTAAAAGTTAGAATCAATTGAATACTATTAAGAAACAATTCCTTTAAATATTGCTTTATTATACTATTTCTCTTTACTCTACATGTTTGTTCATTGTAGAAGCAAAATTACATTATTCTGTTTAAGTAAAATTTACAAGCACAATGATTACACTTATTAATTCTTTGGAACACAATTGAAGAGGAAATTATTAGTGGTTTCTTCCAGTAACTGCAAAGTTTACAATGTCAATATAAACTAAATCTGACAAAAATAAATTGTAATCTAAATGTTTCAAGGAATTATACACATTTACTGAAGCAACTGATTTCAAAGGGAAAGGTCAAAATAAAATACTCTTGTTATTGTTTCTTGTGGGAAAGGAATGAAAAATGCATAAACAAA